TAATTAATTATATTATATATAATTATATGAGGAATTATATTAAAGGGTTGCAGCATTAAGAAGGTTGCGAACCACTGCTCTAAACGTCATCTTATTTAGAAATAAGGTCTTTGAAGATATAATTAAGGGTCTTGAGCTCGCCCTGGATTTAGGACCAACACTAACCCCAATGATGGGCGCCCTCATGAGAGGAGAAGGCTATGTGACCATGAAGGACAGGGTGCGGCCCTGCCGGCAGCTTGGTTTTGGACTTGTGGCCTTCCGACCCGTGCGAGAATAGCCCTTCATTGTTCCCAGGCCCCTTTGTGGTCCTGTGTTACGGCAGCTGCAGGAAACAGGTCATACAAGGCGGTGTGGACTTTGCTAAAACAGTGCCTGACCCAGAGCAAACAGGGAATAAATGTCAGCTGAGGCTTTTGTGACGACGCAGAGAAAGAGTAGCAGGCTCTGCCGGGAGAGGGCACTGTCACAGTTGATGGAGAATTCAAGATGGGGTCACTGGGTGGGGAGAGCGAGGCCCCTACACCACTTGCTCCCACGTTCCAGGCCAACAAACCGTGATGGGACTCTTCCAGGCAAATGGCCCAACTTGTGAGTGCCTAGGGGTCTCTATCGCAGTTGCTTAGTGCTGATGTAACAAAAGCACCACAAGGAGTCAGGTTTCAGAAACTTACTTTATCACACGTGGGTCAGGAGGTCAGGCGGCACTGAAGAATCAGGGCAATGCTGGAGGGGAAGACTGCTCACCTGGGGTGGGGGTGGGGTGGAATGGGGTTTTCTTTGGGTCATAGATTCTCTATGCTGGGGGTTTCCTTGGTGACCTGCATGTGGCATCTCTCTCTGCCCCCTCTTCATTCATGCCCTGTCTGCTCTTTTTAAGTCTCAAAAACGAGACGTGGGGAAAAGCAAAGGCACGTGGAACCAATTCAGTATCCAATGGACTAAGGGAACACACAACACCAACCTCCATGACCTTGAGACCAGAACGACTAGGTGGTGCATGGCCACCACCGCCAGCTGCCCCGAAGGGGATCACACTGGGAGGTCCTGGAGAGAGCGGGATAAAAGTGTGCGATACAACCCAAAATCATTACAAAAGACCAGGCTTTCTGGTTATAGAGACACTGGTGAGACCTCTGGGACTACGGCCCTTTGTCACCCTTCAGGTCTGAAATAGCCCTTCTCTCCTCCTCTTTTGCCCAAGGGGGAGAAGTGTACTTACGCGAGGCGATACCACCTCTTACAAACGATGGCGATTTTCAGGAGCTCAGGGAGACACAAACAGGAGAAGATCCCCAAGAGCAGCTCATCTGGGAGGGCGTCCCATGACACACCTGGCAGGGGGGAAAAGAGTCTCTCAGCACCACTCTGTGGCCTTGTGGTGTCTCCTGCGTGCTTTCACGCACTGAAAGGACACAGGGCACTTAAGATAACAGAGTGAATGCAAATCAAATGACACATGCTCACAATTTTTCCCATAACGCCACAGGGAACACCATTCTTTCTCAGAAAACCAGGAGAAAGAGCCAAGAACGCTTTCAGACCCTTCTTTTCTTTAGCTCCCTTGGCCAATCTTAGACGGGGCATTATTAGCTGAGAGAGGGATGCTGGCTTGCTGGTGGGGCCCTCACCTTTCATGCAGGGGACCCAGGTTCTCTGGCCAGCCAATGCACCTCGGGTGTGCCCACCATTGGTCTGTCAGTAAAGCCTTGTGGAGCTGAACAGGTTTCCGTGGAGATGCCTGACCGAGACAGACTAGGAAGAGAAGCCTGGCAATCTAGTCCAGATAATCAGACCATGAAAAGGTCATGGGTCACAACAGTCCAGTCTGCAGGCAATCATGGGGATGGTACAAGACCCGGCAGCATTTTATTATATTGTACATGGATGCCAATGAATTGGGGACTGACTCAAGGGCAGTGAAAAACAACAATAAAGACAATTTATTAGCTGAGTAATGAAGCAAGTCTCCACACCTCTCTCCAAACTGCCCCCTCCTCGAAAAGAAACCAAACTGCTTCATGTCGATGCCATATCACAGGGACCCAATAGAACGGGCAGAACCACCCCGGTGGGTTTCCGAGGCTGTAACTCTTTACAGAAGTAAAAAGCCTCATCTTTCTCCCATGGAGTAGCTGGTGGTTTCAAACTGCTGACCTTGGGGATCGCAGCTCAATGGGTAACCACTATGCCACGATGACTCCTTCAAAACTTCTCTAGTATCACCCAAAATGTCTAAAAGACCATCATGATTTTAGTCCCAATGGATTCGGTGGCCTTCTTAGGGCCACTTTATTTAAAAGTCAAATGAACCTCTGTCCTCTCTGTCAGACTTACAGAATGTGCAGTGAAGCAGATCTATCTAAAACAGTAATGCCAAAGGATGCTCTCACTTAGTCAATAAACCAACAAATACATATATACATGTGTCTAAGCCGAGTTTTTCAGCACAATTTTTATGCCCTCTCTGTGGGAAAATTAGGTGCCTTGGCTGATATTCGGGTTGGCTTATACTCAAGTATATACGGTATTCATTGAGCATCTATGGTGTCAGGGTTGTTAGTTGTTGGGGAAAGAGCAGTCAATAAAGCTGGTGAGACTTCATCACACAATCTTTGGACATGTCCAGAGAGACCAGTCTCTGGCGAAGGACATCATGCTTGGTAAGTGGAGGGGCAGCTAAAAAGAGGAAGCTCCTCAGGGAGATGGACTGACACAGTGGCTGTGACAATGGGCCCAGACATAACAATTACAAGGATGGCACAGAGCAGAGAAGTGTTTCATTCAGAACTGACTCAAGACCATCTAACAACAGTATACCTACAGGTTTGGGATTTAATTATCTACACACACACACTCAAATATCTGTGAACGTGATCCCCATTTGATAGCAGAGGAAACCTATCTTGGTGCTGCTAAGTTACTTCAACAAGCTGATAGGAAACAAATTCCCACACCCCAAAGTTGAAGCACAGTAGCACTGAGGTGTCAAAAGTTAAACGCATAATTACTACAAAAGCCAGAACTCCCCCTTCTAAGACCCCAAAGAACTGAGGTCAAAAGTGAACACTATTCACGCTAGCCCAAATACCCCAAGGGTCCGACACTCTGCCACGGAGAGAAGTCCTGAGACCTGTTACCACAGGGATGATCCCTGTGTGGGAAAAGTGAGACCCCCAAGGGAGGTGCCCTACGAGCCATGGTATGAGCTATCCGCAATAAGCAAATGCATATGGAAACAAACCTGCACAACTGGTTACCTGGTGTGGCTGGGAGGGGCATTGGACAGTTATTGCTCAACTGATACAGTGTGTCTGCCTGGAGTGATGAAATTGTGGGATTTTAAAAAATAGTTGCAATCGGGAATATAATTAATGCCACGGAATTATACACTTCCAGAGTGGCTAAAAGGCCAACCTTTATATTACACATATTTTACTACAATTAAAAACAATAAAACAAGTGACAAGAGGTATATGTTTGAAGGTTGGCCAGAGTGGCAGAGAACACTGCAAGTCGGGTAAGAGGCATGTAAAGAAAGGACACCGCACCATTGGTGGTCGCAAGGGCTGAGGCTGCAGAGAACAAGCCAGAATGCAGGGACAATGTCTCCGCTTGTGGCTACATTTGTATCGTGGTCTCCAGGTGTGTGGAGCACAATGGGAGTGGGGGAGCCACGAGGACTCAATGGAAATCCAAACACAGGTCTGATTTCAAATCTTCTTCCTATTCTATGTTCCTATTCTGTGGCCTCCTCCACCTTAAGTACTTGATAGGTCAGCAAGTTTGGAAAATGGAAGAACTAAACCCAGTTGGTTCAAAGCCGTCCCTCTACAGGATAGAGATGAAGACATCTGCTCCTCTAAAGATTCACAGCTTTGAAAACCGAGTATCAGGTTGCAAGGATTCGATGGCAGTGGGTTTGCTTTTTTGATTGGGGGGGCTAGGGGGTCGCGGGCGGGGATTCAGTCAGGTTTTGGGTGCGATGGTGACTAGAGGCAATAAATGCCAACAGTTCAGCACCAAATGGAAGGGGCAATGGACAAAAAAAAAAAAAGCACAGCCCTTGCTAGCAGCGAACTAACCAGGGCCAGTGAGCTGACCAGGGACAACCCTGATTCTGGAGCCTGGCTGTGGTCCCAACAGAGGGACTGGTGTTTGCCTCCCCACAGCTGCTCTGGAGACAGTATCCCGGCTCATGAGAAGGATCATCTATTTTACCTGACATATTTCATGCTCTAACATCTGCCATCTGTTTCCTGGATTCTTACCTGCTGTCTGTCTGGAGGGGCTGGGAGAATCCAGAGGAAGGTCCTTCCTCTGCGTGGCTCTTCCAGAGCCACCGAGGTTGCAGCCTCCCCTCCCATGAATGGGAATAACTGTTGAAGTCAAGATCTCGGTTTCCATGGACAGCAAGCAGTACAATGTACTTCAGATACAAAAGCCATCCAACAACGCCAACCTGCTACCCGTCACCCTCTGCCACTGTCCCCACTTCTCCCTCAGGTAGAGCCCAGCTTTCCACTGCAGGAGCCTTAGGACCCCTCCTCCTCCTCCTCTTCCTCCTCCTCCAGCTCCTCTGCAGAATGATTTATTGAAGAGCTTTCTAGACCTCAGATCTGCTTAGCTGAGATAACTTTTATTTGACCAGCGCCTTTCTCAGAGCATCACCTACACTCAGCCTCAAGCTGAAGCCCAAGTAGCCCTAATCAAACCCCAAATTGTGGCTTTTAAAACCGTTCCTCTCCTTAAACTAGAATCCAGTTACACAATTGGGAGGAAAAGCAGGCACCGGGCCTCACATCTGGTCCTTTAGGGGGCGGAGGGAGCGTCTCAGCTGATGCCTGTCTGTTTTGCCTATCCGTGTCTTCCCCAGCCTCTTCCCTTAAGTCACAAAGAGAAAACATTAGCCTATGCTACAGTTCTTAGTAGTCTGGATTAAAAAATACATTATTTAGTTACTTATTGCAGGGTGAACTATACGAAAAAACCAAAATGTGAAAGAAAAACATAAATCCCTAATGGATCTCTCCACCACACAACCCTTTATTTCTTCAAGAGACCTGCTAAACCAGGGGGGCAGGTGGGGGGTGGGGAGAAGCAATGAAGGAGCAAAAAGAGCTGGGGTTGGAGAGTGAGGTCCATATGCTGTGAGGTCAGAACCGCTGTATTCCCAGTCCTTGGGATGGAGCACCATGACATTGGTTGAAGGAGCCAATAAGAGTGCTCTGGAGCCCTGGTGCTGCTGTTAGATACTTAGGACTGCTAGCCCAGAGGTAGTTCACACTCACTATAGGCAAGAGGCTTTCCGCTCCCATAAAGATTTACAGCCTCAGAAACCCATCTCTCTGAGCAGTAACTGACAATGGCAGTGGGTTGGGGTTAGGGCTGGGAGTGCGGAGGGGAAAAATTCCTGGTGGAACTCCCATAAAAGGGCCTTAGCGAGCTTAGTTTTGAAAACTGCTGGCTGAGACTTACTGATAAGTTATGAATCGATTTAGTGAACCTAACAAGGTTTGTGTGTGTGTGTGTGTATGTTTCTACAAAAGAATGGAAAATTGAAAAATTCAGAGCATATCTTAGCCAGGGGAAGTACACAACCAAACCTTTGTTTCAGACACACACCTAGGTTATGTAATATAAAGAATACACATCTCACTCACCAAAACTCATTGCTATCGCGTCAATTCTGACTCATAGAGACCCTACAGGACAGGATAGGACCCCTGTGAGTTTCTGATACAATAACTCTTTACGGGAGTAGAAAGCCTCAACTTTCTCCCAAGGAGCGGGCTGGTGTTCAGAACTGCTGACTTCCCAACTTTGCATCACTGTGCCACCAGAGCTCCTATACACACCTAGATTATGAAATATAAAGTATACTAGTCATTAAAAAAAAAAGAAAAATGTTTGCCCTGATCATTAAAATACCCACCCCCCCCAGGCGTAAGTCAGCCTGTCTTGGATCAGAATTTCAGGCATTTTGCCCTTTGAACCAGTTCCCTTGGGAACGGAGTCTAAAGTTTGAGGAGCACTGGCCCCTTTGGAATTCCAGGCAGTTTCACAGCCACAAGGGAGCTGGCCAACAAGTTTACTCACCAGTTTTATCCTGATCAACATTTGTTGATAGGGCAGAGACAGGCATTTAGGAGCCATGAGATAATGACCTCACTGCTGGGCCATTTCCTTCCCCTGCCTAACAGCACACTCATAAGGGCCAATCAGATCTGTTCAGGCCCAGGGTGGCCCTATAGCCTTTGTCTCCAGGACAAACAGATGAAAAGGATTTAATCTCCAGATGTGAGCCTGGACTGGAGCCCCAAGGAGAGGACGG